TGGTGTGTGTTGGTGTGTGCTATCTCTTGGTGGTGTGTATTTGTATATGTTATCACTTGTTTTTATTGTTTCTTTTATATATATATTTATATATATATATATATATATATATATATATATACATATATATATATATATATTAATTTATATTCGCTAATCAAAAGGTCGTAAGGTCGCTTCAAGCGGCTTCCTTATCAAATTTAGTCATTTAAAAATATGAAACTTAAGAGCTACTCATTATTAACGAAAAAAGTAATAATGATCTTCGAGTGGTAAATAATAATGTATGGCTGTTGGTGAATTAATTGAATATCTGTTTAAAATAAATCTTTTGAATGGAATTGTTTTTTTTTAAATTGGTTGAATATACTAACAGAGAAACATTTTACACTAAATATTTACTAGGTTATCAAATCTTATTTTTACAATATACTAAATAAACACATTTCAGAGTTTCAATACTAAAATGTAAAACCCCTGGAGGTTTGAAGAATGTGAAAAAGTCTGGCTTCATAAGTGGTTGCTGGAGGATGAAAATTGATCTGACGATGACCTCAATACGATTATCGAATATCCTAGTTAGACTTTCGCCGCTCTGGGCGATGGACATTTTGACAAGGAAGGACAGAGTCAAATTTGGCCTGGCTTAGATACGAGGCCTCGACTAATTTTGATCTAGAGACTATTGACTTTTTTTGCATTAGACTCCAACGTAGGTCAAAAATGAATAAAAATGTGACATGTTTCAACATGTTAGCATAAATGTTTGCGTGGAGTATCAACCTTTAATCCAGTGGCGTGCAACCTTTTAGCTTCCCCGTGGCGACATTGGAAGAAGTGATATGTTTTACATTTTTTTTTGAAACTAGTGGTATTTTTTACATTGTTTATGAAACTAGTGATAATTTTGACATTGTTTTTGAAACTAATGATATTTTTGCCTATCTATTTTCTTGGTGTACTACACCCAGATTCTGTATCATACGTTTATTTTCAGAAGAAAAAACTTAATTTTCTATTTATTTTACAAGTCCACCTCTTTTTCCTGCCGTCGCAGGGCACCATCAATAGGTCTACCAGATATGTTCAATATGGTCTAACCGTTTAAGACATAGAGGTCAGTGTAACTGCTTTTAGCACACGTTTGTTACCGGGTAAGACAGTGTGGTACAACTGGACAAACCCGTTGTTTTACCTAGTAAGACATAGTAATTGTAAGGGTAAATGCTTTTAGTAACAACGACATTATTTTGGTAAGTTAACAATTCTTTGCTTGGCCACATTCAAAGCTGTCCTTAGCAGCATGTGGCCCCGCTGACCGCTGACCGTGGGCCGGGGGTCGGACACCCCTGATCGAAACGATATTATACTCTGACTAATACTAGAATCAACGTATTCTTTCATATATTCTGGCTAGCCATTCCATATGTTGAAAGTTACTACGAATCCAATTTGTACGAAACTAGTTTCTACGAAGGAATGTTAAATTGAACGGAAGTCTTTTCGAATGGAAATTTGTTCGAACAGAAGAAATGGAACCTAAAAGAACAAAAATAGCTTTTATTAAAATGTTTATATTTTCCCCATTTTCGTACTTTCTTTAAAGAGCTATTTTTAAAAAAAAAAAAAAATTAAAAAAAACACCTTTCTATTAACTTTACTTTTGTCTGGGGGTGGCTGGCTTGGAAACATCTTCGGACGGCTTATTGACCCGTTTCCTTTCAAATTTACAGCACCACCCTCCAACAACAATCCCCCAAAAATCAGATTTGACCTTTTTCTTCGGGAAGATCAAGGAAATTTGATTTCACGACATCACAGTTCTGAAAACAGCGCTCAATGAGATGGTTTTTTTTTATAATTAGTTAATTAAATTTCTTTTTTTAAAACAATATCGCAAGTGCGTTTGGTGCCTAATATTTTTTTGTGTGTTTGTCTAAAATTGTTGGTGAAATAAATCTGCTGTGTAAATGTGGGTGGGTCATGAGGATATTAATAAAATTCAGGGGCGTCAAAAAAATGTGCGGTTGTGAGCCTAAAAAAAAAGAGTGGTGGGGGGTGGGGGGCACTAATTGGGATTATAAAGTGCGTCACTTGAATGCATTTATTGTCAAAGTCTCAGCTCTCCCCCCCCCCACACAATCCCCCACCCTCAATCGCTATCTATTAAATTTTATAAAGGATTGATGAGAAAAACTTTTTTTTTAAGAGGTTGTTTAATTTTAAACTATAAAACGATCGTGTTTGCATTCAAATTTATTGTCAAAGTCTCAGCCCTCCCCCCCCCCCCCACAATCCCCCACCCTCAATCGCTATCTATTAAATTTTATAAAGGATTGATGAGAAAAACTTTTTTTTTAAGAGGTTGTTTAATTTTAAACTATAAAACGATCGTGTTTGCATTCAAATATTTACATTCCGTGACACTTTTGTACATCGTCAATATCCTACTGTTTCATGGGGGAAACTGCTATTTATTTATTTAATACAATTGTATTCAACGTTTCAAATCGATGTGCAGTATTTTTTATCACATATTGTAAAGTCCAAAATCAATTGATGTAATTTTATTGTCGGATTAAATGTGTTCTTTATCACTTGGTTGTTTTTAAAGTGTCTTAAAGACACGTTTTTTCTCTAGTGCTAATCTACGCTCAAGTGGACTTGAATGAGATGTATTTATCTTAAAGAGTGGAACATATATTCACGAATGCATTAATTAAATAACCTCTTAATATACTTTATCAGATATTTTAACTAACATCTAACAAAAAAAAAGAATTTTTTTTAAATCTTATTTTTGTAATGTAATTCTACTGAAATCTTTCCACAAATTTCGATGATGGATCTAAAAGTGAACTGGTCTTAGATTCTTTCTGACATATTTTCCATTTTACCATTTCTATCAATCTCACTGTTAGATTTTTCCAAAGAAATATTTCCATAAACCCCCTTCTTAAATTTGCAATAAATCTTTTGCTATATTTCCCGAACAAATGTTTCCATTAAATTTTAAAGTGCTTGACCTGAAAAGCAACAAAAATATATATTTTTTTTTTATGAAATAAAATTCCAGAAGTAATGGTTTTAATAAACGTTCTGGACATTCAGTGAATATGTTGCTATGGAAACCTCTCTGACTTATTGGATTGCAAAGAGCTTTGTTCTATTTTTGTTAAATATATTTGACCTCGTGTATTTATGTGTGTGAATGTTTGAAATAGATGAACTCCACGGAGGAGATGTTGAAATAAACCTGAACAGCTCACGCAAAAGATGAACTATTTCTAAACAAATAGTTCCATAAAGCTTAACATTGTAAACAAAAAATGTATTCATTCCAACTTCATTTTCAACCATCTCTAAGGGGAAAGTGATGAATTTTAAAACACAAACTCAAACAATATATTCAGATATATTTAAATGTTAAAAATCTACTTTTTTTTTTCAGAAATGAGATTTGGGGACGGCTCGAAACAGTGTCCTGAGCAGTACCAACCCATGGCCGGGCGTGACCCCTGGCCCATGGCCGGGCATGATGACCCCTGGGACAACTACCAAAGTGACAATAACCGACGGCTTAGCAACTGCTCCTTTTCCAGAGCACCTCCCCCTGGGGGTGGACCGCCCCCGCCCCTGGTGGTGGTGGACGGAGCGGAAGAATTCAGTCGGAAGGACAGCGGCGGATCTCTGGCGGGAAATGTCAGCGGTGATGACTCCGAGCGCTGGCGACCACCCGCTCGTGACCAGCATCCGCTGCATGGAAGTCCGTCGACAGGGAAGATCAAAATGAAAGATATTGGTCTGTCGCACGCTGCATCCGCCCAGAGATTCCGCCTCACGTTTGATGAGACGGCCGATGCCGCCGCCAACAACAACATCGAACTTCCTTTTGACGTGGCGCCCCAGGCGCTCAGCACCAAGCGGCCGTCATGCATTTGCGGTGAGCCCGAGCTGCCGCCTGGTGACTGTTTCTCCCATCTGATCGACGCCCATGACTCGGGGTATCCAGCCAATACCAAACAAGACGGCCCTTACGACGGTTCTCACACCAATTCCTATGACACCAGAGACACACTGTTACGGAACTCTTATTTATCTAAAGTTGATGCCTTGACATCTTCATTTCCAACAAGCCCAGTGGCGTACCCCATGGTTACGCCCTCTTGTCATACGCCCATTCCGCACCATGATCCCAGCCACCCAGAAGTGAGCTTCCTCACCTCACCCGAAAGCCAGTGTAACTTTGGTGACATTACATCCCCCTGTGACTGCGACACCGAAAACACTCGACCCACCAGGGTACTTACTCAAATGGACGATGGCCAAAATCTTCTGGACAGCGGTCACCCGAAAGTGACCATTTGCATATCGAATTCCCAACAGTCCTTCATTCCTTACATTTGCGACAGTCCGACCTTTGACCACCAAGGAGATGATCATTACCAGCTCAACGACTTCCTCAGCCACCACAACAACAACAACCGCTACATGAAGGACGCTGGCGGAGGCTACATCGACACTATGTCACCGGTGGACTACACCACTTTCACCCAACAGCCGTACAACCACGTGGACTGTTCCTGCGGCCTTTCCAACGGAAACATCCCGAGCGAAGAGCTGAGGCTGCTCTCTCACCAAGACGGCACCCCCATGCTCCAGCATCAGGATACCGTCTCGGCCCCACCCATCCAGGACTTGTACCGCTACCACGTCTTCTTCTCCCATTGCCCAGAAGACCGCGAGTGGGTGGAGCACATGGTCGCCCATCTGGAGGCCCCACCTTTCAACTACACGTGCGCCTACGCGTCTCTCCAAGACGAGGCTGACCCCGGCACCTTGCAGCAGAGAATCCTGTGTGCGGCCATGCTCAGCGAAAGAGTTGTTCTCGTGCTGAGTCGACGGTATGTTGAGGAGACCTGGTTCTCCTTCGAGAAAACGTTAAAGCAGTTGACCCAGATGAGCCTCCACAACCAACGGATCATGGGTGTCCTGCTAGAAGACTGTGAGATCCCGGACTCGCTCGGAGAACTCTACTTCCTGGATTCGTCCGACCCGGATTTTTTCCTGGTTTTCACCAAGCGGTTAAAAACAAGTAGGGTCACATATTTTAAACCATATCTTAATTTTGTTGTGAATTATATTTGTTTTAAAAATCGACTTCTCTTGGCAGTGATCGAGAACCGTTTCCAAGATTCTCTAGGGTTTTGTCGACTTAGACTTGAAATATGCCGCCCCCCCTCCCCCGTTTTCATTTATACAACCACTCTCTTCCATCTCTCCCCTCAAACACCCCCTAAATTCTTGCTGTCCTTGGCATCCACCTAGTCTTGCCTAAAGGCAGAAACAGTTCTCAACCAGTCGATACCAAGGGAAAATGAGAGATAACAATCAACTCGATGTCTTTCACTGAGCGCTCCAACATATAAAGCTCTATTCGTCATACCCATAGTCATTAAATCGTAACCTTAAACTAAATATAACACAATCCTAGCCCTTAACTAAATATTAATTCTCCTTCTTGTTTTTTATGTTCTAGGCTGAAAACTAAAATAATTTAACAGTAACTTAAAATCAAACATTGCATAGAGACTGCTGAAGTTTCTAACTTCCTGAAGCTCTAAACTCTTTAGATTAAAATTACTTCACAGGTCAAAGATTCTGCTTAATCATCCAAGCTTTCTGTTAAAACAGCTCACTGGCATAATTAGAGATATCTCGATCGCACGAGGTCACGCTGACATTGCTCGTCTGCTCACACGATTTTAATTACCATAAATTTACATTTCTCCCTGAAAATTACAGGAATTCTTTACTTTTTATTTAAATAACATTTTTCACCATATTTCAATGACAAGAAGAGCGCTAAAGGACATTGTTTAGAAATTCCATTATAGTGCTTAACACCTCTGTAACTTTTTAAAAAAAATTGCGTCATTGATAATTATTTATTATTAGCACATGTGAAATCTGATTGCAAGCATACCGTGAATTCCTTACAAGTTGGGTGTCAAATCAAGTGACAAGCAATGTAACCAATGGCACATTTCAAAGTCTTATCCGTCATAAGGGTTCTTCTCGGTCATATAATTTGAGTGAATTGATCATAAAGCTAGTGTTGTCAAGTGATCATCGAGCTACTGTTGTCAAGTGTTCATAAAGCTACTGTTGTAAAGTGATCATAAAGCTACTGTTATCAAGTGATAATGAAGCTAATGTTGTAAAGTGATCATGAAGCAACTGTTGTCAAGTTATCATGAAGCTACTCTTATCAAGTGATGATAAGCTACTGTTGTCAAGTGATCATAAAGCTACTATTGTCAAGTGATCATAAAGCTACTGTTGTCAAGTGATCATAAAGCTACTGTTGTAAAGTGATCATAAAGCTACTTTTGTTAAGTGATCATGGAGCTACTGTTGTAAAGTGATCATGAAGCAACTGTTGTCAAGTTATCATGAAGCTACTCTTATCAAGTGATGATGAAGCTAATGTTGTCAAGTGTTCATAAAGCTACTGTTGTCAAGTGATCATAAAGCTACTGTTGTAAAGTGATCATGGAGCTACTGTTGTCAAGCGATCATGGAGCTACTGTTATCAAGTGATCATGGAGTTACTGTTATCAAATGATCATGGAGTTACTGTTGTGAAGTGATCATCGAGTTACTGTTGTCAAGTGATCATGGAGTTACTGTTATCAAATGATCATGGAGTTACTGTTGTGAAGTGATCATGGAGCTACTGTTGTCAAGTGATCATGGAGCTACTGTTGTCAAGTGATCATGGAGTTACTGTTGTGAAGTGATCATCGAGTTACTGTTGTCAAGTGATCATGGAGTTACTGTTATCAAATGATCATGGAGTTACTGTTGTGAAGTGATCATCGAGCTACTGTTATCAAGTGATCATGGAGTTACTGTTATCAAATGATCATGGAGTTACTGTTGTGAAGTGATCATGGAGCTACTGTTGTCAAATGATCATGGAGTTATTGTTGTGAAGCGATCATGGAGCTACTTTTGTCAAGTGATCATGGAGTTATTGTTCTCAAGCGATCATGGAGCTACTGTTGTCAAGTGATCATGGAGTTACTGTTGTGAAGTGATCATCGAGCTACTGTTATCAAGTGATCATGGAGTTACTGTTATCAAATGATCATGGAGTTACTGTTGTGAAGTGATCATGGAGCTACTGTTGTCAAGTGATCATGGATCTACTTTTGTCAAGTGATCATGGAGTTATTGTTCTCAAGCGATCATGGAGCTACTGTTGTCAAGTGATCATGGAGTTATTGTTGTCAAGTGATCATGGAGTTATTGTTGTCAAGTGATCATGGAGTTACTGTTGTCAAGTGATCATGAAGCTACTGGTGTCAAGTGATCATGAAGCTACTCTTATGAAGTGATCATGGAGTTATTGTTGTCAAGTGATCATGGAGTTACTGTTATCAAATGATCATGGAGCTACTGTTGTCAAGTGATCATGAAGCTACTCTTATGAAGTGATCATGGAGTTACTGTTGTCAAGTGATCATGGAGTTACTGTTATCAAATGATCATGGAGTTATTGTTGTCAAGTGATCATGGAGCTACTTTTGTCAAGTGATCATGGAGTTATTGTTGTCAAGTGATCATGGAGTTATTGTTGTCAAGTGATCATGGAGCTACTGTTATCAAGTGATCATGGAGCTACTGTTGTCAAGTGATCATGAAGCTACTCTTATGAAGTGATCATGGAGTTACTGTTGTCAAGTGATCATGGAGTTACTGTTATCAAATGATCATGGAGCTACTGTTATCAAGTGATCATGGACCTACTTTTGTCAAGTGATCATGGAGTTATTGTTGTCAAGTGATCATGGAGTTATTGTTGTCAAGTGATCATGGAGCTACTGTTATCAAATGATCATGGAGCTACTTTTGTCAAGTGATCATGGAGTTATTGTTGTCAAGTGATCATGGAGTTACTGTTGTGAAGTGATCATGGAGCTACTGTTATCAAGTGATCATGGAGCTACTGTTGTCAAGTGATCATGAAGCTACTCTTATGAAGTGATCATGGAGTTATTGTTGTCAAGTGATCATGGAGTTACTGTTATCAAATGATCATGGAGCTACTGTTGTCAAGTGATCATGAAGCTACTCTTATGAAGTGATCATGGAGTTACTGTTGTCAAGTGATCATGGAGTTACTGTTATCAAATGATCATGGAGTTATTGTTGTCAAGTGATCATGGAGCTACTTTTGTCAAGTGATCATGGAGTTATTGTTGTCAAGTGATCATGGAGTTATTGTTGTCAAGTGATCATGGAGCTACTGTTATCAAGTGATCATGGAGCTACTGTTGTCAAGTGATCATGAAGCTACTCTTATGAAGTGATCATGGAGTTACTGTTGTCAAGTGATCATGGAGTTACTGTTATCAAATGATCATGGAGCTACTGTTATCAAGTGATCATGGACCTACTTTTGTCAAGTGATCATGGAGTTATTGTTGTCAAGTGATCATGGAGTTACTTTTGTCAAGTGATCATGGAGTTATTGTTGTGAAGTGATCATGGAGTTACTGTTGTCAAGTGATCATGGAGTTACTGTTATCAAATGATCATGGAGCTACTGTTATCAAGTGATCATGGACCTACTTTTGTCAAGTGATCATGGAGTTATTGTTGTCAAGTGATCATGGAGTTATTGTTGTGAAGTGATCATGGAGTTACTTTTGTCAAGTGATCATGGAGTTATTGTTGTGAAGTGATCATGGAGTTACTTTTGTCAAGTGATCATGGAGTTATTGTTGTGAAGTGATCATGGAGTTATTGTTGTGAATTGATCATGGAGTTACTGTTGTCAAGTGATCATGGAGTTACTGTTATCAAATGATCATGGAGTTACTGTTGTGAAGTGATCATGGAGCTACTGTTATCAAGTGATCATGGACCTACTTTTGTCAAGTGATCATGGAGTTATTGTTTTCAAGTGATCATGGAGTTACTTTTGTCAAGTGATCATGGAGTTATTGTTGTGAAGTGATCATGGAGTTACTTTTGTCAAGTGATCATGGAGTTATTGTTGTGAAGTGATCATGGAGTTACTTTTGTCAAGTGATCATGGAGTTATTGTTGTGAAGTGATCATGGAGTTACTGTTGTCAAGTGATCATGGAGTTACTGTTATCAAATGATCATGGAGTTACTGTTGTGAAGTGATCATGGAGCTACTGTTATCAAGTGATCATGGACCTACTTTTGTCAAGTGATCATGGAGTTACTGTTGTGAAGTGATCATGGAGCTACTGTTATCAAGTGATCATGGACCTACTGTTGTCAAGTGATCATGGAGTTACTGTTGTCAAGTGATCATGGACCTACTTTTGTCAAGTGATCATGGAGTTATTGTTGTCAAGTGATCATGGAGTTACTGTTGTCAAGTGATCATGGAGTTATTGTTGTGAAGTGATCATGGAGTTATTGTTGTCAAGTGATCATGGAGTTACTTTTGTCAAGTGATCATGGAGCTACTGTTATCAAATGATCATGGAGTTACTGTTATCAAGTGATCATGGACCTACTGTTGTCAAGTGATCATGGAGTTACTGTTATCAAGTGATCATGGACCTACTTTTGTCAAGTGATCATGGAGTTATTGTTGTCAAGTGATCATGGAGTTATTGTTGTCAAGTGATCATGGAGCTACTGTTGTCAAGTGATCATGGAGTTATTGTTGTCAAGTGATCATGGAGTTATTGTTGTCAAGTGATCATGGAGTTATTGTTGTCAAGTGATCATGGAGTTATTGTTGTCAAGTGATCATGGAGTTATTGTTGTCAAGAAGTGATCATGGAGTTACTGTTGTCAAGTGATCATGGAGTTACTGTTATCAAATGATCATGGAGCTACTGTTATCAAGTGATCATGGACCTACTTTTGTCAAGTGATCATGGAGTTATTGTTGTCAAGTGATCATGGAGTTATTGTTGTGAAGTGATCATGGAGTTACTTTTGTCAAGTGATCATGGAGTTATTGTTGTGAAGTGATCATGGAGTTACTTTTGTCAAGTGATCATGGAGTTATTGTTGTGAAGTGATCATGGAGTTATTGTTGTG